AGGACATCAATATCTATCAAAAAATGTAATAAAAATTTGGAGTGATTTTGGAGCCATTTTTCAGAAAAAACCATGGACTATATTCAAAAATTGGCCGTTTTTAAAAAATGGTCATAAATTTAAAAATTGAAGTCCAAATCAGTTGAAACTTTCTACACAACATAAAGACACCAATATGCATCAGAAAATATAATAGAAATTTGGAATAATTTCAGAGCCATTTAGTCATATTAGAAAATTCTCATGATATAAAATTTTGAAGTTGGAATCAACTCAAACTTTTTATATGGCATGCATACATCAATATGTATTGGAAATTGTAATAGCTTACTTATATACTTACATTTTCAATTCTATACTATTGTTAGATTTACCTGTATAATAACATTATATTTATTACAAGTTAATAGATTCTTACTTCTTTGTCTTTTGATTACCAGTATTATTATTAGTATAATAATAATAATAATAATGATTATAATTAATAATACTGTTCCAACAGCTCCTGATACAATAGAAACAACACTAGAACCACTAGTACTTGTACTGGGCCTTGGGATCATAGCTGATGATGTCACTACTGATACACTTCCAGTAACACTAATAGCTAATGTACCAGTAGCAGTGGGTACTGATACTATTAATGAATATATTAATTATTATGTACTTTGATATTATTACTTACTTGGCATAGATGTTATAAGCAACGATGATGCACCAGTACTTATATCTTTAATTAATGTAACTAATAGTATAATCATAATGAATAAATAATAAATAAAATCAGTCATAATGCACCAATATAGTACCTGATGATGATGATGATGGTACGTAACTACTGGTCATTGTAGGAGCAATAGCTACATTGACTATTTATACATTAAAAATTCAATGACGATTGCTGCATAATAATATATTGTACCATTAACAGTAGCCGATGGTCCATATCCAATAACATTAACAGGAATGATAGTAATAGTGTAGTTTGTATCAGTAAGAGGTAGTCCAGTAATAGTAATATTAGTATTAGCTGTATTGCTGTTGAATATGATACTGTTTGATGTACTGTATACAGTAATAATGTAATACTGAATAGGAGGGACTGGTGTAGTAGAATCCTATTTTAATAAATAATAATAAATATTAGTAATATCTTAACATACTTTATTGTTATTCCACCATATTGTAATACTATCAGTTGATATCTGATCCCAACTAATATTAACAACTTGAGCTGGTACTATAAGAAATACAATAAGTGAGTGTGTGTGTATAGTACTTACCATTCCATATATACTGTATTAATGATGAAGGAGGTCCTTCTCTTCCAATAGTATCAATAGGAATAATAATAAATGAATAATTAGTACCAATAATAAGAGAACTAATAT